GGGGAAACATGCATTTTTTAAAGCGATCTTCTCCCTGACGTACTTTGGAAGTCGCCACTTCTTGGTGTGATTTAGGCCCCGCAAGCCGTCTTTCATTCTGAAAGTGAAAAGAGCTATATCATCCTGTGATCGGCCCCTGATACAATCATGACAAGCCCTGCTGTCTGCAAGCGTCAGATTTATCATTTTTCTCTCCTCTCATAAAATATGTGTTTGTGCCAATTTCTTGCAGATGTGAAAGGCCTGCTATCTGAAAGGAGAGGAGATGGAAGATGGCATGCACAAACAGCCCTACGCAGCGAAACTTTATTGCCTGCCGTTATTTTTTCTCCCGCACCCGACCGGCTGGATGGAAAGGGCTCTTCTCTGGTCACCATCGGATTTCCCTCAAAGGGTTTATTCCATCCCTCTGATGAATCCTGAGCGCAGAAAGACAATCAACTTTCTGTTTTAATAAAGTTCATATCAGTGGTATAAATCCAATGACATAGACTGATGATAGTACAGTCATTGCATTTGGGATGCGCATACCAAAAGATAACGGGGTTGATTTACCAAAAGCAAACAGGCTGTTCACTTTGCTGGGGAATTTTCACTGAGCTTAGTGAATGTGATGAGAATTCACTTTGCAGTGCGTAGTGAGCAGAGCTGTGGGAGGGGCTCAGCAGGCCCTACCCAGTGGCGTAACAATAGCCATAGCGACCCTTTGGGTTCTTCAAGGGGTGTAACTAGAAATCACAGGGCCCCATAGAAAATTTTGCTATGGGGCCCTGTGATTTCTAGTTACGCCTCTGGCCCTACCCACTACTACCTGCCTGCAAAAAACTAAAGGAGGGGCGAGGACAAGACCAGTCAACCTGCACAAGGAGAGAGAGCACCAGTGACCGGTAGTTATTACAGGAACTACAGAAAGTTACAAAGTAGATTAATGCAGAAAGCATATACAAAGCTCACCAAGTAAGAATACACATGGCTCTTGCATGTAGATAATACATACAAGATGGTTGCTAAGATGGCCCTTACACATGTGTCATGTGTAAGATAACACCCACAATGGTGTCAGTGCATGCAATAATATCCCTCAGGATTAGTGTCAGTGGGTGCAATTATAACCCCCAACATTGGTGCCAGTGGGTACAATAATAACCCTCAGCATTGATGTCAGTGGATGCAATAATAACCCCCAACATTGGTGCCAGTGGGTACAATAATAGCCACCACCATTGGTGCCAGTGTGTACAATAATAACCCTCAGCATTGATGTCACTGGATGCAATAATAACCCCCAGCATTGGTGTCAATGGTTGCAATAATACCCGCCAGCAATGGTGCCAGTGGGTACAATAATGACTCCCAGCATTGGTGCCAGTGGGTACAATAACAACCTTCAGCATTGCTGTCAGTGGATGCAATAATAACCCCCAGCATTGATGCCAGTCGTGATAATAATAACTGCCACCATTGGTGCCAGTGGGTACAATAACAACCTTCAGCATTGCTGTCAGTGGATGCAATAATAACCCCCAGCATTGATGCCAGTCGTGATAATAATAACTGCCACCATTGGTGCCAGTGGGTAAAATGATAACCCCCAGCATTGGTGGCAGTGGGTACAATAATAACCCCCAACATTGGTGTCAGTGGATGCAATAATAACCCCCGGCATTGGTGTCAGTGGGTGCAATAATAACCCCCAGCATTGATGCTAGCAGGTGCAATAATAGCCCCCGGCATTGGTGTCAGTGGATGCAATAATAACCCACAGCATTGATGCTAGCAGGTGCAATAATAGCCCCCAACATTGGTGTCAGTGGATGCAATAATAACCCCCAGCATTGGTGTCAGGGTTACAATATTAAACTCCAGCATTCATGCCAGCTGGTGCAATAATACCCCCAGCATTGGTTCCATTGGGTGCAATAGTAACCTCCAGCATTGCTTTCAGTGGATGCAATAATAACTGGCAGCATTGATGCCAGTCGTGATAATAATAACTGCCACCATTGGTGCCAGTGGGTAAAATGATAACCCCCAGCATTGGTGGCAGTGGGTACAATAATAACCCCCAACATTGGTGTCAGTGGATGCAATAATAACCCCCGGCATTGGTGTCAGTGGATGCACTTATAACCCCCAGCATTGATGCTAGCGGGTGCAATAATAGCCCCCAACATTGGTGTCAGTGGATGCAATAATAACCCCCAGCATTGGTGTCAGGGTTACAATATTAACCTCCAGCATTCATGCCAGCTGGTGCAATAATACCCCCAGCATTGGTTCCATTGGGTGCAATAGTAACCTCCAGCATTGCTTTCAGTGGATGCAATAATAACTGGCAGCATTGGTGTCAGTTGCAGTGCTGTCTATCACCCCTCTTTCATTGGTAGTAAGTGGCAAGTACTATAGACCAGATTATCTCAGAGGAGCATCATGTAGCCATTATTATTCTCATTGTTTTTTGTTTTTTTTATCCAGCAGCATTTATTTAGAAAAACTGATTTCTTCCACCTATACATGAAGGTGACATGTCCTCCTGAAGCCCCGCCCCTCCAGGTACCCGCGCGCACACAGCCAACTGGCCAGTGGCCACTAAGCATCCCCATAGAGCACCGTGCAGTTCCCCCGCCGTCCTGCAGATGCCGCTGTGCGGCGCCTCCTCGGCCTTCTCTCCTCAGGCCGCTCTGTGTTCCCGGCAAACTCGGTGGCGGAGGTGAAAGGTGGGGAAGATGGCGGCCGCCTTTATGGAGGAAGAGGTGGACAACGATGACTACTATTCGTTGTTAAACGTCAGGAGAGAGGTGAGCCGACCTTGCAGGGTGATGAGGCGGGGTGGGCACGGGCTGTGGATGGGGGTTAGAAGGAAAAGCGGCTCTGAGGGGCAGAGGGAGAGCCGGCATTGAGGGGTGACCCCGGACATTGACACCCGGCGTGCACAGGGGTGAGGAGGATGTTCTGGCACAGATCGGTGCCTGTGGTCGGTACAGGCTGGAGGGCACATGTGACACCAGGAGGTGACATTGACAGGGATCAGTGAGGAACACAGCGCCCCCTACTGCTTTCACTGTGAGCATGACAGTGACCCCCCCCCCCAACTTTCCATTGTGAGCATGACAG